TAACGATATTAGTCGCTTAACTTGTCAGTTAGCGGCATCAGCTAAATATTTCGGTTTACATATCCAATAGCGATTTGCAATTTATACAACAATGAATTTACTTATTCAAAAAATATTTACACTTGTTTATACATAATATTATAATCGATTTGAATTCATATTATGATTTGAATATAATTACAATGATAAATCGAATAGTAAACGATTCACGTTATGTAATCTTAGGGGTTAAAGTATGAAATTGCCGTTTTATTGTAATAGGTTCCTTGAATTGATATAGAATCTTCATGGTTTGAGGTTTTCGAAAGAAACTTTTTTCACATGGTTTCTTTGATGTTCTTCTTTTAAATAATGTGAAACATTTAAATATCGATTTTCAATTGCTTTTGTTATTCAACTTAGACACGAAAGATGGATACTGTGAAAATCGAGTGATTTTTGAATACGAGTTCCGACGCGGAAGTAACGTGGCAGAAACAGCCTGCACTGTGCGATTTTGGTTTAAACGCTTTCGTAACAGAAACTTCGACTTGAAGAACGAGCCACTAGGAAGACCGCTCACACAGGTGAATAACGATGAATTAAGAGAGATGATCGAAGCCGATCCTAGTCAAGCTACCCAGTGATTAGCGGCATGGTTAACTTACCCACAATATTGATTCATTTGCGTCAAATCAATAAAATAATAAAATACAAAAAATGGGTGACTCATTTAACGGATCTGCAGAAAGAAACGCGTGTTGAAACTTGTGTTGCCTTGTTTAATCGGTGTAGAAATTAAGGAGTATTGGATCGAATTGTGATATGTGTTGAAAAGTGGATTCTTTATGATAACCGTAAAAGAAAAATGCAATGGCTGACCCCAGGTCAAACGCCACAACAGTGTCCTAATGCAAAACGTACCAATAAAAAGGAAATGGTAACTGTTTGATGGTCTCATCATTCACTACAGATTTCTCCAATCTAGTCAAGAAATAACGGCAGATGTCTTTTATGCCGAACACTGATTAATGTTGGCAAAACTAACAGTAAAACAGATCTTCACCATTATTGCTCCATGACAACGCGAGACCTCATACAGCACGAGAAACCGTTTTGACCCTTAAGGAACTGCACTTAGAAATCATTCGTCATCCTCCTTATTTGCCAGACCTTGCTCCAACGGACTACCATTTTTTCTTGATTTGGGCAATTATCTACGTGACAAGAAGTTTTCTTCTCAGGAGGCATTACAAAATACTTTCACACAGTTTGTGTAGTCTACATCCTCAGAGTTCTATCGCAAAGGCATAAATGACCATCCTATTAGATAGCAGCAAAGTATAGATAATAATAGTAACTATTTTGATTCAATAAATTTGTTCAAAATTAAAAAAAATAAACAATTTTGATTTTCAGTACAAATCGGAAATTTCATACTTTAATACCTATTATTTAGGTGCCCGTGCCAATCCAATTTTCATCTTTTTCATCAATTTAAGTGCTGGTTTTTGGGATAAAACATCTTCTAATACCTGTCCATGGTCTTAAACTGCTTAGATACGAATTTTCAAATTATTTCAATCAACTGAAGCTTCATGTACGAATGTTTGATGTCCCTACAGCTAAAAAATAAAAAAAAATGTCGTCCGTCGTTAAAAGTTTATTTATTTAGTACAATCAGTAACAGATACAATAATCCAAGCTTATAACGTTTAACTATTACAATATAAAATTAAGAGCTCAGTTTTTAGTTGTCACAGTATTTTTTTAAAGAGTAATAGCAATTAGTTAGTATAACGATTAACATCAAATACAGGTTTATAAGTGAAGACTAATTACTCAAGAGTAATGCTCTGAAACTGTCTCAATGGATTTTCATAAAAAGGTTTCACTACTTTTCGTTGTCACCTGGTCGTAGAGACCTAAATTTGAAGTCTCTACGACCAGTGGCTTAGTGAGTGTCAGGACTAATATTTACAGAGTATTACCTTGGTAAGATAATATTTCAAATAGATATAAATAACATAAGAAGTAAATTCCCTGTAGGCTTATATTGGCAGCTGACATAATATATTACTTCAAAAGCTACCTACCGTAGTTAGATCAATAATAGACATTTGAAATTCTAATAGCTTGAAATTTGGTGGCATGTCAAAGAATATATAAGCCCACCTAAAATGTAATAGATATATGCTATGCTCAATGGCTTATTAAATCGTATCAATTTAAAAGTAGAAAGTTCGATTTTATTTAAATACTTGGTAACATAAAGGGGAATATATAAAATATATCTTCACTAGAAATTATGTAAATACTTAATAAGATAAACTATGTCGGATAAATTCCTACACTCGTACATTAATGGTAAAATCGTTTATAAATAATATTTATAGGCAGCTCTTTTATTTTATTTAGTAACTCAATCGTTCATCATTTACTTAATGTACTGTTTTAATGTAAAGGGAACAAACACTTTTTCGCTTCAATTTTCGTTTCAACCTTCGCTATCTCAGATGCTCAGAATACGAGAGCTTCAGCTGCTTATTTTGGAATTGGAACAATGTAGAGCCCAACGAGCAAAAGTGGCCTAACCTAATTTTTATATCTATTGTACTATATTTGTCTATAAACTTCCCATAGGTTAGGCTTTGCCTAGTGTGGAGATCACTAAATCATAAATTTGTAAATGTTATCTTGGGAATTAAATAGTATCATTATTTAGAGAACCTTATAAAACATAATGCATAACCAGCCTATCCTTATTTTGCATGCAAAACTTTGAATCCTACTTTATTCATTTATTGGATATGTACGAATATTAAAAAAAATTTTTTTTGCTCTGACGACGTCGTATGTGATGTTGTCTATTTATTATATTTATTTAGTTGTATGTGTTTTTATTAATTTTATGTTATTATGAAAATTGGTAGGAGGAATCAACGTCTTAGTAGACACAAGGTGTTTAATGAAATGGCAATACCGTAGGTGAGGAATGAGTTTTAGTGTAGGGGTCACAAAATTCGTCTGAGTGGGTAGGTGCTAGGTACTTTCTTGAAATTTTGTCGTTGCTCATTAAATAAACAACAACGATATTACAATAAAAAAGGGTAGATAGGTTATTTGTTTTGTCATCTTAAAACTATGCTAACTAGCATACCTGAGCGCAGTCTGGCGAAAGGGTTGATTGTGTACGTTTATTTATTATAATCATGCCATCCTGTGTTATGCTAAGCTGTATAAACAACATAAGTAAGTCGTGTGACATTTTTAATTGATTTGCGTTTTAATCAGAAATATAAATAATATGTCATAAAAAGAAAGTTACAAATTGTGAAAAAGATCTGCCAAAGATTATGTAAGTAACAGAACAGACAATTCGACTGTAGTGGCTTCGCTCTAATTTATATTTATTTGAAAATCTATTTAATTAATTTTTGATATCGTATTAGTACTGGCATGGCCTATCTACGCTTTATATTGTAATATCATTGATCAACAACGCTTTTTTTTAATAGCTGACCATTGATGTTTGATCAACTTTTGAGTAGGTATGTATCAACTTTTGCTAAAAAATCAAAACAATTTAATCTACTCGTTTCATCATTCATAAAAACATTAATTTAATATTTTTATGGTTCGCCTCAAACTAAATGAAAGTGTTTTAATTGCGAATGACCAAACATAAGAATAAACAATTTTAGCTGTTGAAGTAGTAAGCAGAAACTCCTTTTAAAGTTACATATTCAACAAAGACTAGACTTGTGCAATTAGAGTCATTTTTTTAACTTATTGTCATGCGTCAATGTATATCTAATAAAGTATAGAATATAAATTAATGTGTTTTTCGAGAACAACCTCGACGAAACTCGCACTCTATACATATTATTAAAAAAGATCCTGGTGATAGGACTAACAATCTTCACCACTCCACTGGTAATAAAGTACTGTCACTGCATAATTAATTAGGTAGGTGGGCTCAGCAGACGCAACAATGGATTACGTTAATTCAAAGTTAATTCAAACTGGCTTGTTAGAAGGAAAATCTAATGGACACATGGAGAATGACAGAGGGATGTATTATATAGCCTATGTCAACAGAGAAGTGACGCTAGTAGGAAAACATCAGAAACAAGGCGGTCTCTATCGATGAGATATTGAAGTGATATTCCATCTATTGTATCTGAAGTAAATGCGACAACTGCCACCATGCAAATCTACCACGAAAGACTAGGTCACCAGAACAAAGATGCACATGAAAGCCACCATTAAACGAGAACTGGGCCTAGATCTTCCATTGGATAGCGAAACTTGAGAGGGCTGCTGAATATAATGACCACATAATACTTATTGTATATGCATTCACCGAGCATATTTAAATTCATATTTATGTTAATCCACTTCCTTTTCGTCATCGACTCATAAATTTGCCATACATATGGCAAATTTTTATAGTTGAATAGTAATATAATGTTAAGTAGTAACGAAGAATATCGGTCGTGACGGACGGTCAGTCAGAAAACCGAGTGATAAAGGTTCCGTTTTTCTTTTGACCTGCTAAACCCTATAAACGTTAACTTAAGCACTACATAGTATAAAATAAAACGCTTTCTTTGGCCCTATAAAGGGATACATAGGGATGTATGCTTAAATCTTTAAAACTACTCAATGGACTTTGATGCGGTTTTTTTCATAAATAGGGTGATTCAAAAGGAAGGTTTTTATCTATAAAACAAGACCACGCGAGCGAAGCCGCTGGCGGAATAGAATATAAATATAAGTACATATTCTTAAAGTTTCATTATGACTAGGAGTGAAAGAAATACTTTGTCTAATTCAAATATAATAACCGAGTAGCTTGGTGACGCAATATATATGTAAGCACCGCGTCCCGCGACCGTTGTTGTTAAGCAACTTTCGCAAGGGTCTGTCACGGGATGGGCGACCAAAAAATTATATTATTTCGAGCTACTCCGTGCTTCAAACGTTAAGCCGTTAGTCCCAACCCAACCTCTTGGGACCAATCCGCATTGAGCAAACGTGGAGGGTCATTGCCCATCCTCCTTAACAGTCCACAAGGAAGATCCGAGCCTCTGCAATGGGGACGTAAAAGGGCGGATAATTATAATTTAATTTATTATAACTTAATATGATAAATTCTCTACGATAAATTAATGAAACTAATAAGAAATACAAATAAAACATGTTCTATATTCATTTCCCTTTTATTTTTTCATATTTTTTTTCATACGTATGTAGTTAGATACATTATTTTTACAGTATTCTAAGATACACTTTTGTATCAAATAGATACGAATCTGAACAGTCATTAAACATAAAAAGATCTATGTATTAAAATACAGTAATGTCTTCTATATAAAATATAAATGAATTATGTTTCTTGTATCCTATAGTTCTGAGCAACAATTAAATGTACTATCGGCCTCTAAAAGTGGACAGGTTTCACAAACATTTTAATGACAGATATTGAGAAGTTTTAATCTGTTAAAAATGTTTATCTACTATTTTAACAGATAAGATAATATATAAATGACGAGGTTTATAGACACTGTGTTATTATAATGTCATGTAATCTTGACAATAAGTATTAAACCCAACTAGTAATACTTTATAGGTCATTCTAATTTATAAGGTACAAACTAATATTTTACAAATTGGATACATTTTATTCTGAAACACACAAGATTAATTTGACGAAGTATAGATAAACAGATATGTACTTGAAAGATAATATTACCTACATATTTAAGAATGAATTTCAATTCTCAAAAATATTGATAGCAAAATCGAGAAAATATCTTAGGTACTAGATAAAAAAGCTAAAGCTGTCTGGTTTTGATGGGAATTTTATGAGGACGCAAGTACTTCAAGTGTTCCATTTTTTAAAGGTCTTTAAGACCTCTGTAGTTACATCAAAAACATTAGTTAAGAAGCTGTAAAGCTAAGATATCACCTAATCCTCTGCTCTTTGAGAGAATCCCTTAGACCTTAAGATAAATACAGGTATAATACTTTATAGTTTTTGCTTTGCAAAAAGATTTCGTGGTATTGTCCAAGTTTGAACTAAAATAACCGGTAGCACCTAAGTAAACAGTATAGGCCAAGAAATTGTTTTTTAAATTGACAAATTATAAACATTTTACTGAGTGACGTCATCGCCATCGTTGTCTTTCGCCACAGTAAATAATGATTGATTCATGTGTGCATTTGTAAATCATATTTACTTTATACAATTCAATATACAATAGAAGATTTAAGGTCGTTTAGTTCTGAATATCACAGAATTAGAAATTTACAATTCGTTTTAGTTACATATTCGTGGCAGAAATGAATACTTACGAATCTATTTGCATATATCATATAATAATTTATTTGGTTTGTATTATTGAAAAACTGTATCTTGAAGTTTTAATTCCTTTAAAATGGGCTGTAGTTTATTATGGAAAACTTGTAATCCAGATCTGCCAAAAATATAACCAATGTTGCCGACTTGTGAAAATTAAATTTTCGTTAAATATTACAATATTTTTCAATATATATCCATTGGTTTTCAATAAAAATATTTACAATAAATCACTTAAACTAAATGAAATGTACCTTAATACTTTTTTCGAGAGCATTGCACGTACTTTCATTCAACTAAAAGTAAAAGAAAATATAAAGTTTGATTTATTAATTTCTATCTAAACAATAATTACTTCTTAAACAATCAATACCTACAATATTTACAAATGCACAATTTTGTGCGATATAATAGCTGCCGATTGAAGGGAGCAACATTATTTTATATATATATATAACTATCATGCATAGTAATCATCAATTCATTCGTTAATGGAGATTATAGTCACATTTTGTACGATCATTTTCACAAATTACCACGACGCGAATTCACAATCACATCAGAAAGAAATTTATATAATACGTTTGAAAAAACATAAATCTAAAAACAGTCTGTATGTTGAGGAAAATTTTAGGAAAAGAGATAACTTTTAATGACTCGGGCGACGGAATAGCAAGATTACTTTGCGACAGATGACATTTTTTTTTTATTAATTTAATTAAACAGTCGCGGTTATTTGTAATTTCGCCGTTATCGATATCTATTTAGTCTACATTATACTCAGTCTCATAAAGTTGTTGGCGATTATCCGGCGTTATAAGCTTAAGTCGCAATACGATGTTTCAGACCTCGTAGTTCTACCACCAAGTCGCTATCTCCAGCCACGAAGCGCTTATCGATCCTTCTCTTCGGTGTTTCCTGCATACAAAATAGTTCAGGTTTAGAATGACCTTGTCTAATAATAAAATGGAAGTGTGGCGTTAGAGAGAATAGAGAGAACGATTTTACGTGATATTTAGTTGTTCGCTCCCACTTCGATTGACCCGGCCTCTGCGCGTCGTGTCACCCACCACCCCCCAACCCGGCTATGCTATTTTTAGATCAGGAGGTTTCCATAGGCTTAGTTTCAAAACAATTGATATGAATGTTTAAAATAACGATTGGTTGATTAGAATGCATTACTCACCTTAACATGTGAATTCTGGGAGTTCGCTAACAGCTTTGCAATAGTTTCGTAGAAAGCCGAATCCCGTTTGTTGGGAGATTGCTCGTGGTTCTGGTGCGAGTTCTGCGTGGGTCTCGGCAGTACTTCCTCTTTTTGTCCTAATATCGGTTTCACTGTGGTGGATACCGGAGTAGGTGTGGAGAGGCTCCTCTTGTTACCGTTCCAATTAATAAAGCCATCGTCGGATGCGTAATCTTCATCTTCGATTCTCGGGACAGTTTTTGGTACATGATACAGAGGTTTACCCGCAAGTGCCTTCAGTTCACGAACATCTTCGTCTTCTGTCTCGTGTTCGTCATAATCAACAGGCGGGAAAGCGGCACGGGCATTTTCGCGCCGTCTCTGTGCGTCTTGAGCCATTTGAGTAAGGATTAAATTGTCTAAGAAGGCCGCACTGACGTCATCTTCTTCGCTGGACCGCCAGCGGGGTGTGGTGTCACTCTCGAACCACGTCTCTTGCCCGATTGGCAAAGCAGCAAGCCTTTCTTCTTGTCTCTTAGGTGCCTCGTTAGATGTGAAATGACCATAAGGATCATAGAAGTAGGGGTAAGGTAGTTGTCCGTAAACTTCTGACATGCTTATCGCTGGGGCGTCGTAATAATATTGTATTTTAGGCGCGTAATAATATTCATCGTCTGGATATTCTCTCGGTGCTTGAGGATAGACTGGCCATGCTTGCATAGGATAAGCTTTAGCTTGGGCTACTATGTAGCCAAACAAGACTGCAGAAAACCTGCAATCGTTTAAAAAAAACATGAAATTAAAGTTTTTATTTATAACTTATATATAAAATTCAGTGATAAATTAAATATTTTTTATTTATAAAAGATGAAGACTTTTTAGGAAAAGTGTTTCTTTTTTTATGAATAGTAAAAATACAAATAAATAAATCAGCAATCGCTTATTATAAGTATTTATTGAGCACTTAATTATAATTTAACAATCGTACCTTATGCTTGAGGGATACATGTTGCACATTTCACTGTTACTCGGTCTGGCACTATCTCACGACTATGTTGGGCCGAGGGTTGGGCGGCTTTATAAGGGGCTCGCCCACGCTGCCGCCCACACGTTGAATGAACGACCCCCTAGCGTTGGTAGGGGGCCCTTTCAGCCCCCGGCATCACCAAACCTCACACCACTGGCATTATACTATCGATCGCTCCGACAGATTATTCATCTTGCAAAACTGTGACACTGTTTATTCTGAGAAATATTGTAATGCTATCGAATGTTTGAATTTGTCATTGAACATGTCATTATTATTTTATTGCTATCTTCGCTCTACATTCCGTTAAGAGAGAAAAGCGTATTATGTCTGTTAGAAAGCAACTACCGTTTTCCAATAGAGTTCGTAGCCATTTCTGTTCCGATCTATTTTTAGATTTGTGCCTATAATTGAATATGATTTATTTACATCGTCTTTGTTTACAAGTATATACTTTCTCTTAGTGTTTTCTTAGTTTCTTATTTTATACTGACTGTGGGTGATTTATTTGTAGAATATAGGTAATTTAAGGAGCGTGAATAGTACTTATCCTATCTATAAGGGTGACATGTGTCAAAAAATTAAAAAGATAATTTTAGGTCTTTATGTATTCTTTGCTTTATTGTTATTAAACAAGAAAACAGGTGAAAAAAATTTACCATCATCCTGATTTGATATCAAAAACTATTGGCACGAAAATTTTGACAAAAAAAATAAGAAAGCAGTGATTTATTTCTGTATTATAAAAAACCTATCTATGGTCTTTTAATATTTGTACCGAACTCTCGGTGCGCTTGTCAGGTTGGTGGTTCAAATGCTTTTATATACTCATATAAAATTACTAATGCAAAATATTAAGAAATATAGACAAAGCCATTTTTATCACTTTCATCTATCAAAAATTGATAGAATATTTTTGTTTGTAAACTTATTGGACAATCTTTTATAGAGAAACACATCGTGCTCTTATTATCTACTGTAATATATAAAATACTTATAACATCTGTAGTTATTACGATAAACACATACAAAAATTATATAACATACAAGTCGAAATTCAAAGAAATGTGCGTATTAGTGTAAGAATGTAATTAAAAAATATTTGAACTAAAAAATATTTTAGATATAATTAAAAAATATTTGAACTTTATTCTAGTTATTTTCAAATTTTTAAGTCAATTGTTAAGTTTCAATATCAGTAAGATTGACAAAGTATTGTTTACACATTTGCTCTTTAAAGTTTGATATCTATGTAATCGAAATTTGAATGTTTTAAAGACGTTGAACAAGGTTAAATCTATACTAATATTATAAAAAGGCAAAGATTCTAACTTTGTTTGTTTGTACGGAGTAATCTTCAGAAATACTGATACGATTCTAAAAAAAATCACTTACGGTAAGCTACAACATCACCGGTGATAGGCTGTAATTTATGCGTGCGAAGACACGGAAAACCGTTAGTGATGTTCTATAGCGGTTATTTGAGAATAATTTATGCATTTCAGGTAGAAGTCTAGTAAAGTTGCTTCACTGTTGGTATTCTACAGATTGTATTCCGGAGATTGTGCTTCTGAGGTGCACCGCTCATTCCGCCAGCACCTTTTTACCACCGGGAATCCAGGCGTACAGCAAATTATCACGCCCACCTGATTCACATTCCACGTCTCCGAACAAAGCGCTTTGGATCATCATTTATTATACACACAGCCAAGGAGTGGAATAGCCTACCTGTCTCTATTTTCCCGGTATCCTATAACCCAGGAATATTTAAAGCACGAGTGAATAGGTATCTTCTGGGCAAACTCGTCCCATCTTAGGCCTTACGCTTAATATTATTACGCCAGCGGTCAAGAGTGAGCCCATCTCGGATAAAAAAAATAGAATTGAAAACAATAGTAGAGATATATAACAAAGAGAGGGGCCCAAGAGGGTGCCCCCTTAAGGGAAAGTAAAAAATGGTTTCTGATGTAGCTGCAATGTGCCGGAAGTAAAATTGTTGTTTAAAAATCAAATTGTATTTTATCTTGGGCATTAAAATAGAAACGGAGATTTCCACATTTTGCAGGAAGCAACAAAGTTTGAGTAACCAAAACGTGCCTCTAAACGTGCAGTATATCCTTTCATTGCTCCTATTTCAAAATTTTACTTGCGTAAAAGAAAAGTTGAATCTTTTAGGGGTGCGGACTAACTTTTTTATTTGTAGAGTTTCAATAAACAAACTTTGCAAGACCACTATATACATATACCACTGTATAGACCATTATACTCGTATATATATTTCTATATCCCTCTTTCAGTACCTAAATATTTACATATAAATATCGGGATATTAATATCGAAAAGCTTATTACATATTATACTCGTATTTACTTATTACAAGAACGTATATCAACTTTATCATATTTCTTAAATAGAAAATACCAATTTGTTTCTTTATTTCATTAAATATTTCTTCCGTTTTTTAAAATATGATGCTTTGCTATGATTGGTTGATTCACATCGACGCTTGCTTAAATATTTATGATTTATAAGGGAAAGCTCCGTGTCGGCATAATTTTCACGACAACTCCTACAATAATTGTAAAAAGTGAATGAAAATTTACAATATCTGGTAGTTTTTGACTTACGTTGTATGCTATATCGTATTATACTGTTACCGTCATAGGAACGTGCCAGACCAAAACCCGTAGAATACCTGTTCACAGCCAACACTTCTTTATTGAAAGAAATTAATAGTAGAATAATAATTTGAGACGACACTCACTAATACGCAAATGTTGTAAAATATTTAAGGACTAGCTGTTTTCCCGCGACTTCGCACGCGTTAATTGATCATCAAGATTGTTAACATAAAACTCTTTAAGTGTTATAGAATGTTAAAATTTATTATCAAGAGGAATCGTAATATAAGGCTAAGAGAGTGTACTAATAGTTTTCCTCAGTGTTAACAAGAATTTATAAAACTGATATCAAAGTTATTTCATAATAAATGTCATCGGTTGACCTTTTAGCAAGCGTATTGCTATACGTAGATCAGTAAAAATGTCTGTTTACGACAGACGGGCTTATGAAGTACTTAAAAGGAATAACTTCCTTGAATTCGTTCTATCATATATATAATTCGTTCTATCATATAGCTAATAATAGACAACGAAACTAATGTGAAACATTAGTTTTGTTGTCTATTATATGCTTCGGTGCCACGCGAATGAAATCTTATTTCCTAAGGGATTGAGAAAACTGTGTCCCAGCCAAGTTTTTTATTGGATAAAGTTTTTACAGTTTCATTATACTTACTTTTCAAATCATATGTCAATAAGGGAGGCTGGGGCCACAATTAAGAAGAAATGGATTTTTGGTTCGTTCATAACTTTTTTTTTATTTAACTGTTTAAAATAATTGTATAAAAGTTACTTCTTTGTTTCATTAATGAAAAATGCTTAAAAAATTCCCCAGCCTAACTTCTTTGTGAAAATAGTTAATAAATTTCACAAGGTGACTTCTACTGACGCAGATGTTGTTTTTTCTAATTTCATCGACAACGTGTCGTAGGTATAATGCATTGTATATTAATATTCATAATTGATTTTATGTAACACCTGTTCTAATATTATAAAGAGGAAAGATTTGATTGTGTGCTTGTTTGTTTGCTTTTAATATACTCTGATTTTAGAAATTCTTTCACAAGAAATTATATCTTACGGTTGTGACATATGGTATAATTTACATGTTGAATAATTTTGAACACAGTTGTATCTTGTATATAAGATTGGTTAGCATCTAGCATTTGAACTTTGACATTTCACGGCGGAAGTTGGTTTACCAAACATCACCCCCTACGTATAGAAGACTGGTATCGTCAATGGGGTAGGTCGGGAGGAACGGGTGGGTGCATTCCCGATGCATCTAGGGCTGCCAATTCTGCAGTTAAAATAGTTCGTAGAGAAAATAATTCATTAGGATATCGCATAAACTAAAATACTTACTGTGACTATTAAATATTGAGTTCTGGTATAGAAACACCGATAGCTAATCTTTGAGGAAAGTGCTAAATGCATATTCATTTTATGATTAGTTTTTTGAAAAAGTGGACAACAATGTCATGCACGGCTGTCAAATTGTTGCAGCTGAATTGAAATTAAATATTTAGAATCACCTTTAACCGATTCATATACGAAAATTGGTCGATTTTAAAATAATTCAAGATTCATATTACGGTTATAAATGCGGAAGTTTGTGAGAAGGATGTATGTATTTTGATGAAATTCGATATAGGGATAATTGTAATTAAATATAGCTACTTTCTATCCCAACGGTTCCATAGGAACCACACGGGATATCGGGAAGTGGCGATAAGCTAGTATTTTATAAATATAAGAATGAATAAGTAAATTCTCAATAAACAGTAATATTTGTGCGTTAGTGAAAGTGACTTTGTGTAAGTGTAGGATTAAATTTTATTAAAATTTAATTCCAAATTAGTCTAGTCTAGACAAACCAGCTAAATCGTAATATAATTATTTTAGAGGGTAAACCATTTTACCCAATTTTATCGACCTACTATAAAAGTGAGAGCACAGATTTTTTTTGTTCTCTAATTAGGTCGAAAGCCGGTTTCTCGAATCTGGATCAAATTTAACAACATTTTAAAATTAATTAATTGGTAGGAAAGCAAACGAGATCGGGAACACTTTAGTTTTCCTAATCAACAGTTTGTATTAAATAATATAGTTTACTAGCCGTCAGCTAGCTGAGAAGCTTGATGCAACTTTGGCAGGGGGTGGGCATAAAAAAAATTACCTTGAGGTACTCTGTGCTTCGGAAGGCACGTTAAGCCGTTGGCCCCGGCTGCATTAATAGTTGATGCCCTCCTATCCGCATGGAGAGTCATGACCTCCTTAACCCTCCATAGGGAAAACATGAGCCTCTGCAGTGGGGACGTAAAAGGGCTGATGATGGTAATGCCAGCAGCTTTCGCTACATTTTTCATTGCTGATTCTATAATGCAGAGAGAAGGCTGAACTTTTTAACTCAAAAATATTTTTTTATTCGAACAAGTAGATTAATGACTTCAATAAAACAAACTCTTCTGTTTTATATTAGTATAGATTTAACGATTGTGCTTGTCGTAATTTCGACAACCCTGAAACTCAAATTGCATCAGTTTGGTGGCGGAAGTTCTCGCAAACATCAGGTCGTCGACCGAACGGCGCCTTGCAGTCCCAGCATGTCAAATGCACAGGGCTTACGTAAGTGTACCCTAGGCATGAAGTTTCATGTTATTATATGTGTGTTACATATAAGCAAATACATGAATGGGTATCGATTCGCGCAGCGTACACGTCATCTGTCCTTTGTGAAAGGAAGTTGCATCGCTCCAACTAAATTTATTTTATTCGAGAAATAAATATTATTTTCTTTATAATTTGCTAATATGGTCATTAAGGAGCTCGCTGGCGCAGTGGTTAGCGCATTCGATTGTTAAGCAACTTTCTCAAAGGCCGGTCATAGGATGGGTGGCCACAAATGATTACCTCGAATTTCCCCATGCTTTGGCAGGCACTCTAAGCTAATGGTCGGCTGTCGTTTGTCGGCGTTGGTTGGTCGGCTGCGCCTACAATCGTTAATATCCACCAATTCACACTGGGCCCGCTCGGTAGGCCATGGCTCATTCTCCCTTTTCAATTCCATACATAGGGAAGTCCTGTGCCATAGCCTAAATACCTGTGCCGTAGTCTAAAATAAAGTTAAACGATACTTTACAACGGAACAGCTTCTTACCTTGTACAAAAGCGCAAATTCGTCTGTGTATGGAATGCTTTTGAAAAGTTGCTTCACTGTCGGTATTCTACAGATTGTACTTCAGAGAGTGTACTTCTGAGTTGCATCGGCTCATTCCTCCAGCACCTTTTACCACGGGGAATCCAGATGTACAGCAAATTATCACGCCCACCTGGTTCACATTCCACGTATCCGAACAAAGCGCTTTGAATCATCAATTATTATGCGCACAGCCAAGGAGTGGAATAGCCTACCTGCCTCTGTTTTCCCGGTATCCTATAATCCAGGAATATTTAAAGCATGAGTGAATAGGTATCTTCTGGGAAAACTCGTCCCATCTTAGGCCTTACGCTTAATGTAATTACGTCTGAGGTCAAGAGTTAGCCCATTTCGGATAAAAAAAATAGCTAGCAGTGAGGACATTAATAAACTGGTGATGAATATTATGTACCGAATTTAGCGAAAGACGTAATGAAGTTCGTGTTGTGATTCTCTCTGTCTTCGACGACGTCACTTCAATCAATTGTTGTAACTTAGAGTTGTTCAAAACGACAAGAAATACATTAACACACTGAAGACTAAATGCTTCGAAAAATTTACGTGTTAATTAATACGTTAAT